GAGGGTTGCGATCCGTTGCCGGACACGGAAAAAAGACAAAAAGACAAAAAAAAAAAAAAGAAAAATAAGAGAAAGCATATATTTACTTTTTTTTTTTTTCTTTTTCGTGACTGGTAAGGGGATTGCAACCCTTGGCTTGGTGTCGACCGCACCGCGCACCGGCCATCCCTATGTAGGATCTGAACCCGGGGTGAGAGCGCCGCTGCACTCCCAGCGCCGCACTCTCCGGAGTGAGCCACAGGGTCGGCCCATATATTTACTTTTAATTAAGTAAATATTAAGGACATTTCTAATTTGGGGGAAAAGTAAAATTGGATTAAAGAAGGGCCTTTAAAAATTTTTTTAATAACATTTCCTATCTTGGCCTCAAAAAGTTTTAAGTTAATATATTATTATAGTGGAGTATCTTGATTGATTTTAAGTAGTTTTATTTCAAAATATCTGGAATTTTTATTGATTTTTTTTTTAACTTAAAATTGTCCAGAGAGCATTATGTCTATCAAATATATTTACAAGGAAAGACCCCCTCCATAATGCCTATAAACCAAACAGGTAGCTAAAGTAGCTGCTGGCACTGTCATAATTACTGGTGAAAATAACAACACAGTGCCCTTTATTGGCCTATGAACAGACATTTTGGCTATGACTATCAAAGAATTGGAAAGCTTAATTTAATACTAATTGTTTAAAATGACTTAATACATTTCTTCCTCTCCTCTGCCCTTTATATACACTCTTTTTTAAGGCAGCAGCAAAAGTAGTAGAAAGTAAAAGAGCAAGAACAATAACTTCTCAAGATAAACCTAACAGTAATGATATTGAAATGGAAACTGAAGCTAATTTGGATATAGGAAAAAGGTTTGTAAACTCATTAATTAATATGTTTTTTGTCTTATGAATGTTCTGTCTTTATGTAAAAGTAATGCTAGTGAGCCATTATTATTTAAAATAATTATTGAGTTGCAGGTATTGATGAGTAGCTTATTGATGATTAACATTTGGATGTTTGGAGTACAGCAGTTATTTCATGACCCAGACAAATTATACAGGTTAAGCAAACAGAGGGAGAAAATATTACAGTTTAAATAATGTGGGTAATTTCATTTACCGTTCTCAGTGGGGGTGTACTCAGGAATGAGATTGAGGTTGGGAACCTGAATTGTCTGTGCCCCTTAATTGTTCTCAGATCCCACGTGCCTTCATTATAGGTTCATTATGTCTCACTGTACTAAGAGTTGTTCTATTTTAAGATATTATCGTTCATATATCTTCTCTAAGGGTGAGCTAACAATTTTATCTGGTGCTCAACTGAAGAAATAATGGTTTGCTCTAATGCTGGAGGGAAGCAGGTTGTGTTAGTCCTACATATTGAGGGACACTATTTCAGTCTCCAAAATTATATTTTCTTTAGGGATTTTCAAGGGTGATTTTTTAATCTTTTGCTTTAGAAACTGTTGAGGAAGATACAACTATCATTACAGAGATCTTTTCTGTTGAACCCATGGTTTATTCCCTCTATTCTTCCACCCTTAACCCAAGGCCAGATTGTCAAATCCCTGTGGTCTCCATATGGATATATTTTGCAACTGATGTAAAATTACTGTTTCTTCTTGGAACCTTGACTTGAATGCTGCAAGAACCCCATCTTAACTACTTATGTAGAGGTGGTGATCAGGGTCCAAGTTAGATTACTGCATTGGTCACACCTCAGGACTGAGGCTTAGTCTTCTTATAGTGGTCCTTCCTAACAGAGGATGACTTGCTGCTCCTCACTGGTTCATCTCACCAAAGGCTATACTGAAGTCTTATTTCTCATTGACTTATTTTTTTTTAGACCCATTTTTGAGAAATAGAGATTTCGTTTTTATTGGCTCTATTATTTCATTTTGTTTAGAAAATCAAAGTTTAAAGATACTAAGACACAGTACATTTTGTGGCCAAGCCTTCCTGCCCAGTGTGATACTGCTATAAAATAAAAACTTATACCATGGTTCTTGGACAGATAATGAGTATATTTCCTATGTACTCTCCTAATATCGTATCACACACTTATCTCAGTTGTTCTCCTAGACACAGTGCAATCAGTGTGTAAAACAGAACTCTTCATGTTCTCATCTGCCTTTCTGCACCCTGACTCTCCTCTTTGACCTCACACACCCACTTGTCTCTCCAAGTATTAAGAAACTCATCTCAGGAATGCTTCTCTAGTCCATTCTTATCACTTATATACTAGATTATTACACAGCTTTGTACCACACAAATCCATCCTTGGCACAATTTTCAGGGTTAACTTCCACAAAAATAAATCTGTTTAGATCACTTCACAGCTTAAGAAAGCTCATTTGGCCCCTGTTTCCTACTAGAAGAGTCATAATTTATTGGCATGGCTTACAAAGCGTTACATAGCCCTGTCCTATTTTTTGCATGTACAGTATCATTCTTAATCATTAACCTTTACCTGCCCACATAATGGTACTTTCTAGTAACACAGAATTTCTCCATGATCTTAAAATATTACAAGTTTTCATGCCTTTACCCTGCTTAGTTCCTTTTTTTATTTTTTTAAGCTGGCCAGTACAGGTATAGGACCCCAGACCTTGGTGTTATCAGCACCGTGTTCTAACCATCTCAGTAACCAGTCAGCTAGAAGGATTCTATTTTGAATTCCCATTCTTTTATTCTCTTCAAAGGCAAGCTCTTCTTTGCCATTCAAAGTCTACCTCAAAGATCTCCTTTGTGAAGTCTTGCCCAGCTCTCTCATCAGAGTTGTCACTTCTGTGCTCCCAGAGCAATAAGTCATACCTCTGAAAAAGGACTTATCTTGGATAATAATTGATCTATTTTCCTGTCTATATCTATCACTAGATTGAAAATTCTTTGAAAGTTTTTAATTAGCTTTGACACATCTTAATTAGCATGGTATCTTGATATGTAGTCCATTACCAGGCATACATTAGAACTTGTAATGCATTAGTCACAGAAAGCAAACTCAAAACTTGAGACAGGGTAAAGATAAGAATCAAGCAAATATCAAAATCATCCTGGAAGCAGAACCAGGGCAAAAAAAGCATCAAATCACCAGCTTCGGGACAGTAATCAGTAGAATGCAGGTGAAGCCATCATAGAATCAGAATTGTGATTGTGAGTTCAGACAAATATTAGACAAATTGAAATGAGACCCTCATTTTGTCAAAACTAGAGAAATAAATATTTTGCTCTGGTAGAGTTTATATAGTCTTCCCTCGATATCCAGAGAAGATTGGTTCTAGGACCCCTACTGATACCAAAATCCAACAATGCTTAAGTGTCTAATACAAAATGATGAGTGTAGTATTTGCATATAACCTACACATGTCATCCCGTGTACCTTAAATCATCTCTAGATTACCCATAATACCCAATACAATGTAAATGCTATGTAAACAGTTGATATACTGTATTGTTTAGGGAATAATAAGGGGAAAAAAAGTCTGTACATGTTTAGTACAGATGCAACCATCTTTTTTTTCCCCAATAGAATGAATCCACGGTTAGTCAAAACTGTGGATGTGGAACCTGCAGATATAGAGGGCCAACTGTAAACTATTTGAGGCAGCAAGAATCGTACACATGAAACAAATAGTAGCTGACATTACATAATTTGTTGCTAAAGTCTATAGATGGACTTAAATGCTAAAGTTGAGATGTACAGCTTCATGAAAAGTATTAGCACTGAACAGGGCCTTGAAGAGGATGGTTAAGATTTTAACAGGTGGAAGAGGACATGTTACTTCAGGAGAGAGGACTAGTACCAGTGAAGGCATGGAAGTGTAAATGGTCATCCTGTGTTTGTGGAAGCTATTTTAACTACAGCAAAGGGGAATTTCTTGAAAAGTTCAATTGGAGACTGGTGGGAAGAACAAGAAATTAAAATTGAAGTCATCAAATTGTATACATGTGCAGTGTTTTTTTGTGTATCGGTTGTACCTCAATAAAGCTGTTTAAAAAAAAACCAAAAAATCTGAATTTGTGCAAAAAAAAGAGCCGTGAAAGAGTTTTTGAAGGAGTGAAGGTATGCAGCATTACCTACGCTTACCTTATATTTGGGGAAGCTTGATTTAATGTATTCTATAAGCACATCTTGGGAAAAATGAGCCATGTTGTAATGGACCTTATGTGTCCCAACGTTACCAGGTTCTCTTTCCAAAGATATTTTTTATAAATGGAAATGTGATTTGAATATGTAGAAAATACTATCCTTATGAAAAATTTCTTTTGTTTACATTCTTATTAATTTTTTCTTCTTTTAAAGTGTTAGTGACAAACAGTCTGCGGTAACTGAATCCTCGCGGGATAGAGTATCCTTATTGAGGTGAAGTAAATTGACATTTTTCTTCTCTGTCTTTCAAATCTTTGACTGAAACAATTCATGCAGACCTAAATATGTTATAATAACTCATGTAAATGGTATGATTTAAAGAATATCTAGGGCCGGCCCATGGCTCACTCGGGAGAGTGTGGTGCTGATAACACCAAGGCCATGGGTTCGGATCCCTATATAGGGATGGCCGGTTAGCTCACTTGGGAGAGTGTGGTGCTGACAACACCAAGTCAAGGGTTAAGAGCCCCTTACCGGTCATCTTTTAAGAAAATGAAATAAATAAAGACTATCTAAGGGTCTTGCTTACCTCAACAGATATTCAAGACTCTGACTTTTCTAAAAATTCCAAACAGTAGAGATCTGTTTCTGGGATCCTGGGTTTCACATTGTTTCTACAAGGCTATTATTGGAATACATATTAGAGAGTACTCCAGCTTAAAGCAGGTGTTTAGTGAACTCTTACTCCATCATAGAAACAAAGATATGAAGCTGGGGTAGGAAGGGGGTGGGGGTTACATTTCTGATAATGTCCCAAATTCCAGTTTTATGAAATTACTTGAAAAACTGTATTTGATCTACTAGAAATGCTATGACAGACAATACAAATATACAGAGAGCAGAAAGTCTGCATGAATGATTTCAGAGATAGGGCAGTTGGGATGCCCAGTGGAACCGAGGGAGGGGGTGGCTGACTTGGTGTCCCTTCATTGGAGATGAGGAATTGAGAGGCCAGGGTATTATACAGATAGTCCATGAGAACACTGAGACAATTCATAATACATCTCTTAAGTATAGGGAAAGACCTGTGACTGATGGGAAGAGCTTGGGAGAATAGTGAATAGCTATGAAGAATGATAGGTGATGTACCTAAGTGGCATGAATCTTCAAGGTCTGAAGTTTCTATGGAAGCAGGATCCTGAAAGTGGCATTCATTAGAAATTGAAAACTATGAATACCCACCTCTGTAGTTTATGGAGGGTGAAAGTTTAAGCCAATCTGTACTTGAGAAAGCCACAAAGAAACATTGTTCCCAGGAAAGAGCTAGATTTTAGACAAGGCAAAGAGGTGGAGGAACTGGTCAAGAGGATTAAAATGTCATTCCAGAGAGTATAATAAAAAGTTTTTGGTGGAAGGGATAGAGAAGAAGGATTTAGCCAGTTACATAGAGTATTTATAGGGATAAAAATACACCGTATACTGGCCAGCTGCCAAAAAATTAAAATGCAGTCATGCACCATATAATGACATTTCAGTCAATGACGCTCATATGTGTAGGTGGTCCTATATGATTGTAATGGAGCTGAAAAATTCCTGTCGCCTAGTGATGTAACATCATAATGCAACACATGCCTTATATAGTAGAAGTAGGCTGTATCATAGCCTAGGCGTGTAGTAGGTTATACCATCTAGGTGTGTGTAAGTACACTCTGTGGTGTTCACACAACAAAACTGCCCATCTACACATTTCTAAGAACGTATCCATATCATTAAGTGACACATGACTGTACAGCTAAAAGAACCTACATTTTAGGTGGAGATAATACAGCTGCTTAAGCGTGGGTGAAGTGCTTTTTGAGTCTTAGTTTACTCGTTTATAAAATTGGAATAATACCAACTTTTCAGTTTTTAAAAAATTACTCCACACTTTATATTTCCAGCATTACCTTTCAAAAAAGCTCTTTTTGGAAGCTATAAAGATAATCAAATGATATCTGCCATTAAATGAAGGAATTCTGGAATTTCTTTTTTAGAAAATAAACTTAGAAGCCATTAGAGAGAATGAAAATTAATATAACAATTTTTTTTCTTGATCTATCAAGTTGGAAGGTCAGAAGAATCTTGATTTCTGAGTAGATGTGATAGAGGAAATGAGAAATGGAAGAGAGAGATGTCTGACAACAGAAATCTTAAGAGGCCAAAGATTAAGATGGGGCACTAAGCAAGGAGAGCACCAAAGGAAGCAGGTCAAAGTAGAAGATCCTAGAACAGAGATTTAGACAAATCATCTACCTTTTTTTCCATAGCTTTACTATAGTGTTTCTGGAACTAATCAAAAGCTTTCATGTTTTATTTAGGTCTCACAGGAACCTCTTATCTAAGTTGAAACATGGAAGCCAGCAACAAGATCTTAATAAAAAAGGAGTGGGAACTCTTCAAAGTAAGTGATGTTACTATTATTTTAGAAGTGGAGAGTTGATGTGACCCAACCATTGACCTTACCAGTACAACACAAAAATGCACACTTCAGAAAACTGAAGCACAAAGAGGTTAAATGACTTGACTTCATAGTATTAATTGATTAATTTAATTTAGAAAGCTAGCTATTAGCTTAGAGTTTTGCTATGACAGTACACTGCTCTTCTACCTTAACTATATTTAGCAACTTCATATAATAAGTCCCTGGGAGCATTAAATTAGAGAATACTGAATCTTACTCCTAGGGGAAATACAGGATTAGGTTCCCGCAAGCCTCTGGTCACAACATTTTTAGCTACCAATCAATATATAACCTTGTTTTATGTGTGTTTCTGTTTAAGAACACTTTAATATATATTGTCTACTCAACATTGAGTCACTGCCCACAGCACTATAACTCATGCCTGAATGAAGCTTATGTAACACCTATTTTCTTCTCAGTAAAGCACATCACGTCCTTCATGTACTTAGGAACATTAGACATCTCTTCAGTGCTGCACTTGGGGACCATTTTAAATAGTGAAATCATCAACAAAAAGTACAAAACTGCAAAAAAAAAATGTCACTAAACCATAAGGAAGATACCTGTTTATAGTACGAGAGCTGAAATAAGAAGACATAGTGCCACCTTGTTTGACCTCAGCTGTGGATGTGTGCATCTAGCAACTCAAAATTTTTCACAACTTTGCACATATCCACCAATGACCCTGAAAGTGCTGTGAGTATTGATTTAGGAGTTAGACAAATTTTAGCGGGTAGGTAAATTCACAAATAGAACCTGTAAATAATGAAGATTGACTATATATAGACTCTATATACCCTCTTTATTTTAAAATTTATTATTTTATAGAAGGCATTGCCAGATTTAAAAAACAGTATCCACCCCCCCCCCCCCCAAAAAAAAATCTTTTTTAAAAAAGTCCAAAATTACAGCTATCCATTGGTGTCTGTGGGGAATTGGTTCTAGGACCTCCTGTGGATGCCAAAGTCAATGCATGCTCAAGTCCCTGATATAAAATGGCATATTTGCATATAACCTACACACATTCTCCCATATACTTTATTTATTTATTTATTTATTTATTTATTTATTTATTTTATATATTTATTTATTTATTTTATATATTTATTTATTTATTTGGCAGCTGGCTGGTATGGGGATCCAAATCCTTGACCTTGGTGTTATGACACTGCACTCTTATTGACTGAGCTAACCAGCCAGCCCCCTCCCATATACTTTAAATCATCTCTAGGTTACTTATAATACCTAGTACAACGTAAACACTATGTAAATACAAGGGTACTTCAGAAAGTTCATGAAAATAGAATTAAAAGATAATATGAATATTTCCATGAACTTTTAGAAGCCCCCTCATACCTGTTATACTATATTGTTTAGGGAATACATGACAAGAAAAGTCTGTACATGTTCAGTACAGATGCAATTTTTTTTCCCCAAATATTTTCTGTCCACAGCTGGTCAAATCCATCATGGATACAGAACCCACTGATACAGAGGGCTGACCATATTTTCAAATATAATTTGATTATAAGTATCTTCTTGGTATATATTCATTTAACAAATGTTTATTGATCACACATCATATTCTGGGTACTGTACTAATACAGGGATTTTTAAACCTTATAAATACAAACCTGAGTACTTACTGACTGGGATAAAATAATAGATATCATGAAATTAGGTTTATTGCTCTATACTTATAAAGTACCAGCTTAAATGCCAGGCACATAGTAGGCCTGCAGTAAACATTATTGAATAAATTTATTCATAACTGACAGTTGATGACGTGGCCACTATCAGCTAATGTTTGTAAATACAGCTCTAAAACATTTACATTCATAGATATTATCATCCGTATTTTAAAGGTGAGAAAACTGAAGCTCAGTGAAGTTAACTTTTCTAATGTTGGTGGAGTTCCCAAAATTGGTTTTCTGCTTTTATTGCTACAAGATGGCTAGGAATCATAATTCTAAACTAGAATAATGTGAGCATTTTACTGGACTTTTAATTACATAGTACAAAATTCAAAGAAAAGGAAACAGACTTGTTTACATCCTACGTCATTTCTCAGTAGTTAAACTGTGATGAAGACTATAACTTCATTGCTGAGTGGCTTGACAGTGACTGTGGCTATTGTGCCTGTAATGTCTTGTGAGTTTTTAGCACATTTCTTGATTTTCAGTTAGATGTTAGTAATATGTTGTCTTAGTACATTTTCTGTCTCTTATAACATTATATGAAACTGGATAATTTGTAAAGAAATGAAATTTATTTTTTTCAGTTTGGGAAGCTGGGAAGTCCATAGTCCAGGGAGCACATCTGGTGAGGGTCTTCTTCTGGATGGGAACTCTACAGGGTCCTGTGACAAGAATGGCATAGGCAAGAAAGTTAACCTTCTCACTTGCTCTCCTTATAAAGCCATCAAAACCACACCCATGACAACCCATTAAACCATCAACCCATTACTCTTTGAGTGGACCAATCCATTCACACGGGCTTAGTCCTCACGTTCTGGCCACCTCTTAAAGCCCCGCTTTCCTCCACCATATTGGGGTTTAAGTTCTAACAGGAGCTTGGGGGAACATTCAAACCACAGCAAGTTTACATTTTTTAAAAATTCCAGTTTACTTAAATGATTCCCAGGTATCCTGTCATTATAATTAGAGGATATTAGCTTTGTACTAAGCCTTTTTTTTTTTCCCAAAATGAATTTTTGTTTTATAAAATTGACATGTGCTAAGGGAAGAAAATCCAGTAATTCAGCAAAGTTGAAAGAAACAAATCATCTAAATTCCGTCTATGCAGACAAACTTACCAGTATTCACTGAAATGTACAGTCATACCTCAGATATATTGCAGGCTTGGTTCTAGACCACTGCACGAATTCTTTTGTTTTCCAGCGCATATAAAAGTTATGTTTATACTATACTGTAGTGCATTAAGCATGCAATAACAGCCTTTTGTCTAAAAAACACTGTAAATGCTTTAATTTAAAAATCTTCATTGCTAAAAGATGCTAATGATCACCTAAGCCTTCGGCAAGTTATAATATTTTTGCTGGTGGAAAGTCTCGCTTTGATGTTGATGGCTGCTGATCAGTTAGGGTGATGGTTGCTAAAGGTTGGGGTGGCTGTGTCAATTTCTTAAAATAGGATAACAGTGGGCCCACCTGTGGCTCACTCGGGAGAATATGGTGCTGGTAACACCAAGGCCATGGGTTCGGATCCCATGTAGGGATGACTGGTTAGCTCACTGGGTGAGCATGGTGCTGATGACACCAAGTGAAGGGTTAAGATCCCTTCACCAGTCATCTTTTGAAAAAAAAAAATTGGGACAACAATGATGTTAGCCACATCGATGGACTCTTCCTTGTATGAAAGAATTCTTTGTAGCATCCCATGCTGTTTGATAGCATATTACCAACTGTTAAACTTCTTTCAGAATTGAAGAGAGCCAGTCCTCAAACCCTGCCACTGCTTTATCAACTAAGTTTATGTAATGTTCTAAATCCTTTGTTGTCATTTCAACAGTGTTCACAGCATCTTCACCAGGAGTAGATTCTATCTCAAGAAACCACTTACCTTGCTTATCCATGAGAAACATCAGTTTGCAGCAATTTAGTATCATCTTTAGGCTCCAGTTCTAGTTCTCTTGCTGTTTCTACCACGTCGGCAGTTACTTCTTCCACTGAAGTCTTGAACCCCTACAGGTCGTCCATGAGGGTTGGAATCAGCTTCTTCCAAACTCCTGTTAGTGCTGATATTTTGACTTCCTCCCATCAATGACGAATTTGTTTTGTTTTGTTTTGTTTTTTATAATTGGCAGCTGGCCAGCATGGGGATCCAAACCCTTGAACTCGGTATACAAATATTTTTAATGGCATCTAGAATAGTGAATTTTTCCAGAAGATTGTCAGTTTTCTCTGCCCACATTCATCAGAAGAATTACTATTTATGGCACATGTAGCCTTACGAAATATATTTCTTAAATAATATGATGTGAAAGTTGAAATGACTCCTCGATACATGGGCTACAAAATGGATGTTGTATTAGCAGGCATGAAAACAACATTAATCTGCTTGTACATCTCCATCAGAGGTCTTGGGTGACCAGGTCAATGGGCTATGTAATATTTTGAAAGGACTCTTCTGAGCAGTAGGTCTCAACAATGGGCTTCAAATATTCAGTAAGCTGTGCTGTAAACAGATGTGCTGTCATCCAGGCTTTGTTGTTCCATTTCTAGAGCATAGGCAGAATAGATTTAGCATAATTATTAAGGGCCCTAGGATTTTCAGAATGGTAAATGAGCATTGGCTTCAACTTAAGTCACCAGTTGTGCTAGCCCCTATCAAGACAATCAGACTCTCCTTTGAGGCTCTGAAGCCAGGCGTTGACTTTTCTCTAGCTATGAAAGTCCCAAATGGCATTTTCTTCCAATAGAAGACTTTTATATACATTGAAAATCCCTTGTTTAGTGTAGCTGCTTTCATTATCTTAGCTAGATCTTCTAAATTAATTTGCTGCAACTTCTACATCAGCACTTGTTGCTTCACCTTGCACTTTTATGCTATGGAAACTGAACCAGCCTCTGCTAGCTTCAGACTTCTACAGCTTCCTCACCTCCCTCAGCCTTCATAGATTTGAAAAGATTCTAGAGTAGGCTTTGGCTTATGGGGATGTTGTAGCTGGTTTGGTCTTCTATACAAACCACTAAAACTTTCTCCATATCAGCAATAAGGGTGTTTTGCTTACTTATTTTTGTGTTCACTAGAGTAGCAGTTTTAATTTTCTTCAAGAACTTTTCATTTGTATTCACAACATGGCTAACTGTTTTGTGCAAAAGGCCAGTTTTCAGCCTGTCTTGGCATTAGACATGCCTTCCTCACTAAGCTTAATCTTTTCTGACTTTTCATTTAAAGTGACATCTGACTCTTCCTTTCAGTTAAACACCCAGGAGCCATTGTAGGACTATTAATTAGCCTAGTTTTAATGATTCTAATATTGTTATATTTCAGGGAACAGGGAGGCTCAAGGAGAAGGAGGGAGACAGGTTAATGGCCAGTCAGTGGAACAGTCAGAACACACATAAAACTTATTAAGTTTGCCATCTTCTATGGGCATGGTTCATGGCTCCCCAAAGCAATTACAATAGTCACATTAAAGATCACAGATCATTGTAACAGGTCAAATAATGAAAGTGTTTGAAATATTGTGAGAATGACCACAGTGTGACACAGAGACACAAAGTGAGCACATGCCGTTAGAAAAATGGTGTTCCAGGTGCTGGCCATTTAGCCCAGTTGGTTAGAGTGTGATACTGATGACACCAAGGCCTGGGGTTTGATCTCTACCAGCCACTGCCCCAAAAAAAGGAAAAATGGCATCAATAGACTTGCTTGATGCAGGGTTGTGACAAACCATCAATTTATTAAAAAAAAAAAAAAACTACAACGCAGTATCTGCGAAGCACTCCGTAATGAAGTGCAACGAAAGGAGGTATGCCTGTTTAAATTTAAACTTTAGACTGAATGATTTAGGCAAAAATCTTTCCCACCAATCCCCAATTTTTCTTAGTTATATTTTATAAATTTATATTCTATAAATCAAGGTTTATAGCAATGTTTTCTAGCCATATTCCCATAGTGGTTTAATCTTTATTTAAATTGGCTTATTGCTCATCACTAGTCCTTTCAGCAGGATTTCCTCATTTCTTAGCTCTTCATTTTTATTTATTTCTTGTTTTGGCTGGATTTTTTAAAAGGACCTTATAGCAACTATAATTTCTAAATTTTTGCATGCCTAAGATGTCTGTTCTTTTTACTTAAAAGGAAATTTGACTAAATATAATATTCTTTGGAAATACTTTTTTCCTCCCACTTTGTAAACATTGCACCATTTTCTGATTTTTGAATGCTGCTGTGGAGAAATCTGACATTAACCTGACTTTTTCTCCTTTTGTGAGTTATTTTCTTCTTAGATGCTTAGATTTTTCTAATATATGCATTTAATCCTATGAATCCCTCTTTAGTTAGTGCTTTAGTTATATCCCACAAATTTTGTTAGGTTGGATTTTTATTTTTTTGGAAATACGTTTTCGAGGGCTGACTGGTTTGCTCAGTTGTTCAGAACATGTTACCATGGTGGTGTAACACCAAGGTCAAGGGTTTGGATCCCATACCAGCCAGCCACCCAAAAAAAAAAAAAAATAGAATGTTTTCATTGTCCTTGAGACTTTTCCATTGGCCAAATTTTGAAGTTGTATGTTTAATTTTCCAATATTCAGCGGTATTCCAGATATCTTTCTGTTATTGATTTCCAGTTTAATTCTGTTTCGGTTCGAGAATATACTTTGCAGAATTTTTTTTTTTTTTTAAGGTTTATTTTATGGTCTAGGTGTGCATTTAAGAATGTGAACTCTGCTGTTGTCAAATGGAGTGTTTTTAAATGTCAGGTCAAGTTGTTAATAGTACTGTTCAGGTGTCTTGTATCCTTACTCATTTCCTGCCTGCTTGCTCAACCAATTACTGAGAGAGAAGTGTTGGAATCTTTAAATATAATTACGAATCTATTAATATATATTTATCTGTGTTAATTTATTATTTCCTTTTTGCTTTTTTAGTCCTCTAGCACCTCTTTAAACAATTCTACCAATATTAAAATCTGCTTGTAGCTAGTGTAGTTTCCATTTTCCCTGACTGGAGCCCAACCAATACATATGTCAAGTTTCCATGTACGTTTAGGTCTCTTGGTCTACTTCTGCAGCAATACCATATTGTCTCAATTATTATAGTTTCATAACTCAGTATGTGGTGGGACAGTCTTTTTGCTTTTCAGGAGTATCTTGACTATTCTTGATATTTTGGTCTTCCGTATTGCCAGGGGAAAAACCTAACCAGAGAGGATTATAAGCAGTAAATCTACTCCATAGGTGCCAGAGTTAGACAACAAAACTTAAAAAAGCATAGTAAACAGCATGGCATCGTATAGTTGTGCTAGTTCCCCTACTCCGAATTCTACTGGGCAATGCAGTGGACCCAGATGGATGCTATGAAGACAGTAGGTTCAGCAGAGGAACTCAGTCAAGGGCCTAGCTCTTTTTGAGTGAGCCACAAAACATAGCGAACAAGCCAGTACCCTCCCCAAGAGAAAGCATTTCCATGGTGGTCATGCTGTGGTTTCTTTGGCCTACTTAGTTGCTGATCTTATAGAAACTATACATCATCAAGAGGTAGATAAGCCTTGTACATTCACCAAGAACTGCAGGGATACTCAGGACCCATGGTGGACTACCTCTCCTAAAACATGAATAATCTTGTTAAGTTATACAAAGAACACTGTTGAAATTTCTATTTGAAATTGCATTGTAACAATAGATCATTTTGTGGAGAGAACTGACGCTATTATATTCTCTTCCTGTGCATGAACAAAGTATATTTCTCTTAACATGTTTGAAATACATATATACATATATCTTTATAATTTACTGCATTCAGATCTTGTGTCACTTTTGTTAGTTATTCCTAATAGCATCTTCGTTGCTATTCTGAATAGTATCTTTCTGTTGTTTTAATTAAATATTCATATTTTACCTGATTGCTGCTAATGTATAGCAATTCTATTACATTTTGTATTGGTCTTATATCCAACCATCTTGCTAAATCATTTTAATTTTGTTTGTAGATTATTTTAGGTTTTCTATCTAAATAATTATCATCTTTCAGTAATTACAGTACTTATACTTTTTCTTCATTTGTGTGTGTGTGTGTGTGTGTCTGTGTGTATGTGTGTGTCTGGCCAGTAAAGGGATCTGAACCCTTGACCTTGTTATCAATACCACTGTAATTACGGTTCTCCTTTTTTTTTTAGTTATATACATTTATTTCTTGTCTTACTAAACTATGAATAAATAAGACAGGGAATGAGAAGAGGATGATACATCTTATATTGTGTCAACTACTTCTTAAAAGTTATTTAAAAAAAATAAATAAATAAAATAAAATTTCAGCAATCCTATACAATACAATTTTATTTTTTTAACAGATGATAAAAAGACAACCTTAGGGAGGTGAGAGATGACTTGTTTAAAGACGTATGAAAGAAGCAAGACTTAAAACATTCCCCTCTCTGATTTTCAAAGACTGTGATCTTTGTACTGTACCATGTTGCTTTCAGATTTGAAGGAAATATTTAAACATGTAGAGGTTTTTTTATTAGAATAGCTAAATAATAAATAGGAATTTCGTGATAAATCACCTTTAAAAATATAATTATTTATTTTTTTCTTTCATGTGAAGCAATTTTTGATGACTGTTTCTACTTTTAGTTGGAAAAAAGAAAAAACACAGACAAGCCAGTACAAGCAAGAGCATATATGTTGCAAAGAGTCAACCAGTTACTCCTGAAAAACATCAACCTAGGAAAAAACAGGTATTTTCTATTATATCTATTTTTAATTTATTTATTTACTTTAATTGACATGTTATAATTATACATATTTTGGGGATACAGTCTGATGTTTTGATACATATATATGCTGTATAATGATCAGGTTAGGGTAGTCAATGTATTCATCTCACCATGAATTTATCATTTTTATCCCAAGAATATTCAAAAGCCTCTCTTCTAGCTATTATGTAATATACAAAACTTAACTGTTAACCATAGTCACCCTACTGTGCAATAGAACACCAGATGTTTTTTATTATATTTGAATAATACTTATGACATTAAAATTATAATTCGAATAATTCTGATTATTTCACATTTTTTCTGTTTAACCCCTACAAAATCTGGAGAATAAAATATTTACTCTTTGCCATATTTGATTTTGCCATTTTAGATTGACTAGCCTATTCAAAATTTCAAGAAAATACTTCACCCTTATTTTTAAAATAGTATTAACTTAGGTGTTAATACTTACATCTATTTAGAATTACTGATACTATCATAGTCAGTTCCTTAGATGTAAGGTGGGACTTAAATCCACATTATAAGCTTTTATCCGTATGTTCCTAACAAGGACCCAATCTAAGTAATATTCTTCTGTACTTAAAAACAAACAAAGAAAAGATACCATTTGATCAGAATTTTATTAAGGTGGGTCAATTTGAGGGCTTAATTCATTTCCCCTCTCAGTGAGTATAGTCCTTTTCCATCTGTACAGTGTCTGAAACCATTATTTCCTCTCCTTTATCTGATTTCCTCGTTGTTTATAGCAGGTGAATAAATCTGGTTCTTTTTATTCCATTATGTCCAGAACTTTTTTCTTACTCTATCCAAAGTGATTTTTTGTTTGTTTTCCCTTAACAAGCTTTTTACAAATGGTTCGAGTTGAGGTATAGCAGCTAGGGTCAAGTTGCAGGCTACTAGAGTTATCTCCTTTGATTCAAGGTTATTTTGGCCTTTATTTCTTTCCCAATGAACATAGCAAGCAACTTCTACTTTTGATTTGTTTCCTGAAAATATTACTTGTCTGTGTGATTGCTTTTTTAGCCCTAACATTTCTCCCCTTTGGAGCTATAGTAGGTTGAGGGGAGCTCTTACTGTTCCAGACCAGGGATTTAGGGTGTACATTTCAGAATGTATTTCTTACTTTGGAAAGGTGTGAGGGTACTTCAAAAAGTTCGTGGAAAATTAAATTAAAAGATAACAAAAATGGTTCTGTGAACTTTTTGAAGACCCCTTGTATATATACACCACAGGCTTTCTGTAATCTTAGGCAAAGTGGCTATGCCCTACTTCTCACTAACCCTTTTTCAATTTGCACAGATTATGTCCCCCTTCTAGCTATAATGTGGCTCAGGTTGTAGACGTTGCCTACTTTTTCAGAATTTGGGATTTTATTTCTTTCCTTGTTGTTTTTGGGTGGAATTCCCAAAGGAGAAGGGGGAAATGCCAGCCTGCTGGCACCATATGTGACCACAAATCGTATGTATTTTTTATGCTTAATTTTTTGCACTTTGAATATGTTGTGTGTAGATGTAGATTTTTTGTATTTATCCTGCTTGGTATCCTCTGAGCTTCCTGGATCTGTGGTTTGGTGTCCATCCTTAACTTTAGAAAATTACCAGCCATTATTACTTCAAATCTTTTCTCTGTTCCTTTCTCTCTCTGGTGTCACCATTACACATGTGTTATACCTTTTGTAATTGTCCTGCATTTCTTTGATATTCTTTTCTCTTTTTTTCATTCTTTTTTCTCTCAGCTTTTCAGTTTGGGAAATTTCTATTAACATATCTTTAAGCTCATTGGTTCTTTCCTCAGCTGTGTCTAGTCTACTGATGAGCCCATCAAAAGCATTGTTCATTTTTGTTACTATGTTGATTTCTAACATTTTCTTTTCATTCTTTCTTTGGGTTTTTGTCTCTCTGCTTACATTTACTCATCTGTTTTTGCTTGTTGTCCACTTTTTCTGTTACAGAGCCCTTGGCATATTAATCATAGCCATTTTAAATTCTAAGCCTGACAGTTGCAAAATCTCTGCCATATCTGAGTGTGTTGGGGTTTTTTTTTTTTTTTTTTTTTTTCCCCCCCGTGACCAGTGGTTCACCCTGAGTGTGGTTCTGATGCTTGCTTTATCTCTTCAGACTGTGTTTTTTGCCTTTTAACATGCTTGTAATTTTTTTCTGATTAGCTGGACATGATGTGTCAGGTAATAAGAACTAGGGTAAATGGGCCTTTAAAGTGAGGTTTTATGTTTATCTGGCTAGGAATTAAGCTGTTTTTACTGTTTGCTATAGCTGTAAATGTCAGGCTAAAATTTCCTCTGATGTGGTTGTTTTTGTCTCTTTTGTTGTCTTTGGGTTTCCCTAGAGATTCCTTCTCAATAAGGACCCTAGACAGCTCTTTCAGCTGTAATCCCCTATTGTTACACAGGATCCTAATTGATGTGCAGATAAGGTAGGAGGAGGGGAAGCATTCTATAGTCCTGTGTGTAGGTCTCGTTCTTTTAGTGAGCCTGTGTCCTGGGCTGTGACTTTCTTAAGTGTGTCTCAGTCTTGGGTGAGACAAAAAGGCTTAGAGCAGGCTGGAGTTGAGAATTTCCACAGGTTAGTTAGGCTTTTATAAAACCCCAGCCAGTTAGGCTCTGGCAAAACTAGTTTCTTTTGAGGGGCAAGCTTTTGTTAAGAACAGAATATTTGAGAGTATTTTGAAATGGGGAATACTTCTCAATGTGTCAGAAGCAGGAGGGGATTTTTGTCTGATCTCACCCTAAGACCTGGTAAGGCTCCTGGAGGTAAAACTCACAAAATTGTGTGGACCCCTAGAATTTTTAACTCTCAAGTTCATTCACACTGAGCCTCCAGCAGTTCATCATTTACGGTCGGTTGCTCTGACCAGTACTGGCTCAAGCTGCAAGCTTCTGCTCCTAGTAATTCCTAGATGTATATGATTCTCTCCATCTGCCTGTCTGTCTAGTTTTCAGGGCAACAGTTTGCCCTGTGATGTTAATTCTCTGATGGATCTAAGGAGAGTTACTGATTTTCAGTTTGTTCAGCTTTTTTCTTATGGGGACTCTAGTAATGATTTCTGTGTTGGACTGGAAACTGGAAGTCTCTACTTCATACATATAAATCTGTTATTCCCTGTTGTTGTTCTGGCAACAATTCCAAATGAGATTGTAGGTGTTATTTATAGATGTATACCAAGAAAATAGTTTCTCTCTCTTCTTTTGATTCAAAACAAAATATAGGATATCAGCCACCTAATCTATAGAATATAGGTGATATCATCTATTGCTGTTTCGTATGTCAAAAAGAATTTTGTAGATATCACCAGTGTCTGGTTTTATTTTTTAGCTTTTCATTGTTGGCTTTTTGGTGGGACACTTGTTTCAAAAGATGAGTGAGACTTAATTTTATACTATATTTGTATTTTTTAGTTCTTTAAAAAAAATTTTTTGCAGTAATCCATGCCTAATTGGACAGCTCTCTCCTTGCTGTGTTTGTTAAACAGACAAAGATGTTTCTGCCTGCCTTAATCACAACTTAAAGAGCCTTCCTTTATAAATTTATTCCATTGAAGAAGAAAAGTAAATGCCTTTCAACAATAAGGACTTTTCCCCATAAATAGTATATAATGGGAATTACTATAGCAGTATTTTTTTAAGGCATTATAAAGCTTTTTTCCTCAAAGAGTTATTAGAAATGATATGCAGTTTTCAGATATAAGTTATATGAACTCTGGAGCCTTTAGAAAGAAAAGAATTCACGCATTTTAATTTATTGTGTGCTCTTTGTATTTTTTCAGGCTATTGGCATGGCTGTAGTTGTTATACTTTTTTATTGGTTTTATTTTAAAATTTCCAAGAAAAGCAAAAGATACTAGAACAAAGGATATGGATTTTATGTGTTTTATGCCTTGAAATGTATCATTTTAAACTCTTTCTTAATTATGAGTCATTTTAAATGGAATTTAGTACAATACATTAAATGTTTAAAATGAAGAAATGAGCTTTAAGCAAAAGAATAGATGTTATAAAATTATATTGCCTTTATGTTTTCTTTCTCATCTGACACTGATAGATCAATTACGTTATTCATTCACCTTCATCTACAGAAAGTGGGAGTTTGTACCAATTACCACTAGGCTTCTTTAACCTCTAAACTTTTAAAAATTATAGTTTTCATTATTTGCCATATGATTGCTTGTTCCATATGATGTTTTTTGAGACTCCTTCAGTCATAGGTGAAATTAAGCAAAGACTCAAAACATTCAGATCAAACAAAATAAGGCATAATCAATCACAAATAATAATATATTAAGCTAGAGTTGCTCTTTTTCAATAGAAGGAAAAAATGAAATATTTAATGCTAAACACTGTGGTTGTTTAGTTAAACTTTACAGACAAAATTCCAGCTTTCTTCTAGGTTAGGGGTTGTCAAACTTTTTCTATAAAGGGCCAAATCGTGAATATTTCAGGCTTTGTGGGATATTTACAGTTTCTATTACAAACTTTTATCTTTTTCTTTTTTTTTTTAAATGACTTTTAAAAATGTAAAAATGATTCTTAGCTTCTGGACTGTAGAAAAACAGCCTTGGGCTAGATTTTGGCAGTAGCTTGCTGACTCCTATAGGTGATCCACTGATACATACCGTTTAAACTTATTGCACACCGGAACCTAAACAGAATTCAAGCAGAGAATATTAGTTATTTCTTGAGAAAAAGTGGCTTTTGTATTACATCAGGTATTATCGTTCCTCTCTATTAAAAGTAATACAGCTCAGAAAAAACAAGAACAGTGTGTATATGGGTATGAAATTTGCATAAACCAAAGACTAGTTTTAAAGCTGAATAAATGTGTGGCAACATCTTAAAACAACAGATTCTTAACTTGCAGGCCATGGAATTGATAGGCTTTTTAAGGGCAGTCTGCTTGGCCTGAAAATTTTATGTAAAGTTTTAGATACCTACACTTTTCTGTGGAGTGGATGCATCACATTCTCCAAGATTTATATCACCCCAAAGATTAATAACCCACTGTTGAAGCACTTTTAATCAGTCACCCCACAAATGCAAAATTTACATCTCTTGGGGTTTTTTTTGTAAGTTAGTGACAAGCATTGTAGTGAGGCTTTGTAGGAGTGGAAGCTGGGCCAGTCAGTAATAGATGGTCATAGGAGAATGTCATCTTTGTGTAGAGATGGGATAACCAGGCACTTGTAGACAGCACAGTTACTGATAGGTGTGCCACAGGCAAGCAGTAGCAAAAGCAGGTATAGAAGTGATCAGACATCTTGAGTTCAAGTCACAAAGCACAGGAATAGCAAGAGCAAAGGAGTCAGGCTTAAGGCAGCCCCAACAAACTTCTGCAAGGGGTTTGGTTATGGTTACTGCCAGTTTTTATGGTATTGAGTCATACACAAGACAGTTTTCATTTCATATTTGTCATCTTCAGGCTACCTTAATTGTAGTAAAATACACATAATATAAAATTTACCATCTTAACCATTTTTAAGTGTACAGTTCAGTGGCATTCATCACATTCATATTGTGCTGCCATAACCACCATCTATCCTCAGAACTCTTTTCATCTTGCAAAACTAAAACTCTGTACTCATTAAATAATAATTATCCATTTCTTCCCCCTGCCTACCACCCCTGGTAACCACCATTCTGTTTTTTATCTCTGTGTCATACAGTATTTGTCCTTTTGTGTCTCATTTCACTTAGCATATATCCCCAAGTTTCATCCATGTTATAGCATGTGTCAGAATTTCCTTCTTTTGGCTGAATAATATTTCATTGTATATATATGCCACATTTTGCTTATCCATTTATTCGTTGATTGACACTTGGGTTGCTTCCACATTTTACCTGTTGTGAATGTTGCTGTGAACTTGGGGGTGTACAAATATCTCTTCAAGTTCCTGCTTTCAGTTCTTTGGGGTTTATACCCAGAAGTGGAATTGCTGAATCATATAGTAGCTCTATTTTAACTTTGGGGGGAACTGCTGTATTGTTTTCCATAGAGGCCGCATCATTTTACATTCCTACCAACAGTGCACACAGATTCCAATTTCTCCACATCCTTACCAGGACTTGTTATTTTTTGTTTTTTTGATAAAAACCATCCAAATGAGTATGAGGTGATGAACTGGATTTTTAAAGAAAATGTGGCAATCTTCCGGGAAATTTCTCATAGTGTAGACACAACAAATCACTCAAATGATCAAATAACTCTTTTAGTATGCCAATGGAAGGAAAAATTAGTTGGTCATCTATAGCAAATGCCAAGAATTAGTAATTTTTCTGTGTATGTTATTAAATTTGATTTTAGAAAATATTCATTTTCTCCCAACATGAAATTGTATGTTTTTAAGTAGTTTATATTAGTTGTGTCTTTTGAAAATATATTTTAGAGAAGATTTGAGTTTTATATTTGTGTGTAAACTTCCCCCAACATAGGCAGAACAGGGTTTTCACTGAATTCATTAATGAAGTAGTAAACATTCATAAATTCTATTTAAAGATATGGAAGATTAATAAATACCGATCTATTAAAAGTTGTAGAAAAGCATTTTAAGAGACAGTGAGCTTAAAGTCAGACAGATTAGGTTGGCATACAGCTCTGCCACTTTCTTAGCTGTTTCATCTTGGGTAGCTGAGCTTATGTAAAATGAACAGGAATAGTAATGATCCTTAAAAACATTATGGTAAATATAAGGTCTTATAAAAGTCTAAGAAATGTGTAGAGAAATTCTTTCAATTTTAAGCAACTATACGCATTAGTTTGATGAAAAACAGTTGCATGTATAGTAGATTCTTTTTAAAGAATTATTTCTGTGAATAACTTCTACTTTTTCTCAAAAGGCATGGCTTTGGGAAGAAGACAAGAATTTGAAATCTGGTGTGAGAAAATATGGAGAAGGAAACTGGACTAAAATACTATTACATTATAAATTCAACAACCGAACAAGTGTCATGTTAAAAGACAGGTGGAGGACTATGAAGAAACTAAAACTGATTTGCTCAGACAGTGAAGACTGAGTGTGTTTATAAAAGCTTGATAAAAGGAAAGTTAAATATTTAGATCACTGCATTTTGTTTAAAACTTGCTGGTCATTAATGTGTATTAAGTTTTTTGTTTAAAGCATAATATTTTTCTGTGACAATATGAGGATTTGTGCTACAAGAGTAAAATTATATGCCATCCTTACATTCTTTAAGAATCTTTATATTTTGCTGAAATGTAAATTTGTTGAACCCTGTCACATTCAATACCCCCACTCCCAAATCCTGTTAAAATAAAAAATTAAAACCTGTTAGGGGAAAAAATATATATTTTTTAACCTGTTCTGTGTCTGTAGACTGACCTCAACCTCAGCACACACATAAAAGTGAATTTTCTTCTTTTCTTATTTCTTTTTTTTTTAACTGCCAAGGGGATCGCAACCCTTGTCACAGTGTGGTCTGTACCACGCTCAGCCAGTGAGCGCACCGGCCATCCCTATATAGGATCCAAACCCACGGCCTCTGCACTACCATCACCGCACTCTCCCGAGTGAGCCACGGGGCTGGCCCTAAAAGTGAATTTTCTAAGTCATTGAAAATTAAATAGTTCTTTGATTTGAGATAATGACTTGATTTACGGCCTTAATATACTAATTACCAAGATGTTTGTTAATAGAATGAAATGTGTACAAAGTAATCTGTAAGGTTTACTTAAGTTTTCTTTTTAATAGCTTAATATAAAGGAAAAAGCTTAATAACCCCATAGGACAAAATTTGTACCATTAGCAAGAATAGCTTTGTGTCTGTACCTGTAACTGAGTAATTTGTAAAGAAACAATAATTATTGCTTATTTATATCTTCAGAGGTTGGGAAGTCCAAAGTCTGGGAAACACATCAGGTGAGGGACTTTTCCTGGTGGTGGCTTTACTGCTGTATAAAAACACTAAAAAAACACAGGGTGTCACATGGCAAGTATGACAGAAGCAGAGAGGTGAGAACCTCCTCACGGCTCTCCTTTTAAAGCCATCAGAACCATGCCCACAACCACCATTAAACCATCGAATGAATTAATCCATTCACTGTAGCATGGTCCTCACAATCTAGTCACCTTTTCAAGGCCCCACCTTTCAATTATAATAGGATTTCCCACCCTCAACAGTTACAGTGCAGATTAGGCTTCATTGAGTTTGAGGAACATTCAAACCACAGCATGTCTCATTTAGGAAGAACTTGACTTTTGTTCCACTATTAAAACTTTAACAAGGATGGTTTTGAATAAAGCTTTATTACTTGATGCCATAAATATCAGGTTCTCTGATACTTTTAATAAATCAGTATTGGGCCTAAGTAGTATTTTGTAAATGCTTAAAATATTAGCCATGGTCATCTTGCTGTCTATAAGAAATAAGGAAGATCATACATACCTTACTAGACAACTTTAAGTTTTCACCAACATTCTGTTCTTTAGAAGATTTAGTCAAAGACAGGATTATTTAGCATTTTGAGTTGTATATGCTTTATTTAGCAAGTGAGTGAAAGAAAATATTGAAATGCTGAAGTATTTGCATTAGAAAATCAGATGTACTTTTTAATCTCTATGCCATTTCCTATTAAAGTTTTATATATTACTTTCCCATTGTTCCTGAATTTATGTTGTCCTATGTGTATAGTATAGTAAATAGAAATATGGATACTTACTATATGCTTCCTGACTCAGTCTGTCCTGATACACAAGATATTGTCACTGTTTATCACAGACATTTTGATGGTTAGTACTAAAGGTGGCACCATGAGTCAAAATAGACTTGTAAGCCAGCCTCCTCATTCCAAACACATACCATAAATTATCACATCTAAGTTCTATTAGTTTTAAGATGCTGTTATTTCATGTACCACGAAAAGAGAAAAATCACTCAGTTATATAGTATGGTGCTTTCTTATTTAGAATTTATTTCTCTTATTAAAAGATTTTTATTATATAACTTGTAGATACATAAAAAGAATTTTAAGCAAAGTAAATTGGATAATTATGTTACTAAAACTTCATCTCCAGTCTGACTCTTCTAAAATACTTTTTTTTTAATTGGAATTTTTGTTGAGATAATTGTAGATTCACATGCAGTTGTGAGAAATAGTACAGAGATCCCTTGTACACTTGGCCTATTTTACCTTAATATTTTATAAAACTACATTATATTGCCACCAGGATATTGATATAGTTCATCTTATTCAGATTTGCCCAGTTTTGTACTCTGTGTATGTGTATTTAGTTCTAAATAATTTTGGCAGTTTGTATATCCACCACCACAGGCAAGATACTGAACAGCTTCAACACCATGAGGATCCCTTGCATTGCTTTTTTATACCTCCTTCCTGCATCCTTCCCCCTATCCCTAGTGACAACTAATCTATTTCTAAAATTCAATCGTTTAAAAAGTTATATAGCATAAGGAACTCCAAAGATCTGTCCCTTCACTGAGGCAACCATTAAGCTGGCAAAAACTGTTAGAATCAAGTTTTTGGAACTCATAGCTGATAAAAACTTGCAACATCCAGGAGTGCCTAGTGAAGCTTGAAGAGGCTATTAAATTCTGGTAAGAGGGTTTTGGTGTTTTTGATTGCCCACCCACATCCCCCATTTTCCAGCTCAGCAGCAGCTGTGGGGACAACACTTACGTTCCTGGTGCAGCTTGCTGGTGCCACAGCTGGGGTAATGTCTTGTTTTCACAGAAATGTAGTGCGTTTTGACTTGTCTGGCAGTTCCTTGACCTTTGTTTTGCCCTCTCCAGGCTGGACCGCCTCACGAGCATTGTTTCTTAAAAGCATGTAAAGACACTACCCTCAGCCACCTGTGGCCACGGACAACAGCAGATGGGGTAAGACTGAAAAGGCTGGGGCAGGAGTACATGGGGGGAGTTAGGGCTCTGAAGGGCTGTCACAGATACCAGAGAATCTGGACAACCACACACATGCCCAGGACTCAACACATTTTCTGAAAAGACCTGAGAGGACTGTAGGCCTGCACCTTTGAGTGATCTTTAGGTTTCACATAAGCAGGAGGTGAAGACTAAGGCAGAGTTGTAGGTGTCCTGGCTAAACACTGAAGCAGTGACCCAACTCAGAGCTAATCTGCAAAGCCTGGGACAGTATCATATTTTTTTGTTCTTTTGGACTCATGACATTTAAGGAAATTAAATGAATTGTTTATGTATTCCTTGTTATCTTTTCTTTCCCTTAACATTTTTGTACTATTCAAATTGTATGTAGCTTATTCATTTTCATTTCTACATGGCAATTCATTGTATGATTACATCACAACTATTATGGTATTGATGAACATTTGAGTTGTTAAAATAAGTGAAGACCATCTGAAAATGAGAACAGACTATTCAAAGCTTGCTATAGTGAAGGAGTCAGCCATAATCACTTGTGTTTGGCAGATGCCCAAAGGCAGACAGTGGGATTTATAGTGGGAAAGCTTTGTAGTAAAAAAAAAAAAAAAAAGGTAAGACTTCAGGCATGCTCTTATTGGAGGTTGTTGGCTTGAGGAAGCTGGAGACAGACCACCTAGCAGTGGGCATATTATGTGATTGTTTGGGGGAACATATTTGGCTTTCTCTGATTAGTCCAAGCTAGAAGTGAGGGCAAAACGTTGGGATGTTGGCAGTCGTTGACCAAGTCCTGACCATTCTGAGTGGTTTGCTGCAAAGATTATAGTTTGGCTTCCAGAACTGGTTGCTGCAGAGGTTGTTAGTCAGAGTTGTATTTTCATATAGGATCTGCCCATTGTCAGTTTATATATTCAGTCTAAGAGTTGTTTTCAGTTTCTGGCTTCTAGGCTTTTACATTTTACATGAGGTGTATTACTAGGAATAACGCTAACTCTTAACCATGAAGTTAGGTATGAATATTGTAATTCCTAGAGCAACGATTTTTTTAAAATACAGATATGTAGCCAATAGACAAATTAAAATGGAATACTAAAGATTATTCAAATAATCCAAAAACAAAAAGGAGGGAAGCAAAAACAAACCATAGGGATGAATAAAAAAATAAAATGGTGCACCTAAATCCAATCAATAATTACATTAAATGTTATTGGTCTAAGCCAGAGGGTAAGCAACTTTTTTCGTAAAGAGCCAAATAGTAAATATTTTTGGCTTCGTAGGCGGTACAGTCTCTGTACTCTGCTTGGAATGAGCCATAGACAAGACATAACTGAGTGGGAATGGCTGTGTTTCAGTAAAACTTTACAAAAACAAACACCAGGTAAGATTTGGCCTCCAGGCTGTAGTCTGCTGAGCCTTGCTGTAGTTCTATATTTTGTTCTCTTCTTTAGAATTTGTTGGACTTTGTTCTGGCGGACAGTTGTTACTTTCAAATCTAGGAACTTCTTTTAAGTTCTTTCCTCCCAGGTTTGGAAGTTTCCAAGTTTGGAACCACTTTTAAACTAACAGATTGGGTGTCCAGCCTGTTGATGAGAATTTGGGCTGCAAATCGGCAGAATAACTGACTAGCAACAAGCTCTTAGGCCCAATGCAATGCTCCCTCCCACAAATCCTTGTGTAGAAGTGAAGGTTTTGCATTTACTTCCAGTTCAATACTTGTATAGTTCTTTGGTGTCCTCATTTAATTATTCCCACCTCAGTCTGGCTTTGAGCTTTGACCTCTGGCTCCCTTACTGAGAAAGAAGGGACAATAAAAGAAATACGGAGTTTAAAAGGGCCCTGCTTTCCTTCAAGGCTAAAATTCAGACCTCCTCAAAGAGGACCTGCCTAATGCTGGAACACAGCCTGTTAGTGGTGAAACTGGCCAGAAGATGCAGGCAGTGCTGATCTGGAATAACAGCCCACCATTACTGGATGGGGTGGGGTGGATGGGGAGGTAGCCTGAGGCCATAGCTGGAACTCATGCATGTGGTGGCTCCATGCTGGATAATAATGGACGACCAGAACTGGAAGAGAATGGTCTTCCTGTTACTGTCTCTCCAGAGTCACTCCAGAGCCTTCTGTTGATAAAGCTTAACAGTTAACAAGTCAAGCAGTGTTTACAGAGTGCAGCCCCAGTGTCCAACTGTCACAAAGCAGGGCAAAGAAGGATAGATTTGGAGTTTAGAGACAGACAATAAATTAATAACTGGCACATAAGATGCTTTTATTTTTCCCAACTTAACCCCCCCCACACACACAAACACACACAACCTTTATATGTCAAAATGCTTTAATATTAAAGTAAGTCTTCATTTAAGTCTATCCTGTGTTGAAAGAGCAGAAGTAGAAGACAATTTGACACAAGAAATGTGATGGATTACATGATCTCTCAAAA